TATCTTTAAAGAGAAAAAGTGAAACTTAATTTGTTATAAATTCGCACATGTGTTTTGAATGGGTGAAAATCAGATACAGCTACATTTATATCACAAGAAGATAACTACTTCTAGGACATTTTTATTGAAGGTAAAATGAAAGAGTATTAAAAAAAAACCTATAAACATTTATTGATTACTCACTATGTGCTAAACTTTACCTAAGACTTAGTGGTGAGGAAGTCTGAGTTCCTCTATTCTGGAACTCATGGTCCTAAAACATGACTCTTAAAAGGTAAACTGTAGTAGGTATATTAGAAAGTAAAGAGTATGCTTTGTGTCAGGGCCCAAAGGAAATCACCCCATACTCTTCTATGTTATTTTAGTATGAGAAATAATCAAACAAGTATCAGCCAGATTGATAGAATAAAAATTTAAAAAGAAGACTAATTATAATATGTCTACTTGCTGTATACATGGCAGAAACCCAGCGTATTGGAGTCACTCACCACATGGCTTCAGACACCATCTTAAGTACTTAGCTAAGATAAGGGAGGTGAAAGGCAGGATACAAACATGAAACTACGATAAGTAGTTAGGCAAGAAAAGCACAGTAATCAAAGATATTTAAGTCATTCCTTCACCATTGAAAAGAGATAAGGGAGACTAGCTGTTCCCAGTACAATGAAGTGGACACCTTATAGTGTTTACATGTTAATGTCTTTTTAAAACTACTACCTCCACGATGCCTTCAGAGCCCCTCACATAAAAGCAACCTTTGCCAAAGGTGTATTTTGGAGTGGCAGATTTTTGCTACCATACAATCTCCTAAATATATATAGAGTCTTATATATAGGAAATATATATATTTACATATAGTATACATACATATATACACGTATGTATGTACACACACACACAAGTCAGAAAAGTGGGTCTCTTTTAGTATATTTTTAAGCCAAGAACTGCTCATGTATAGATAATTTAGATTGAAGAGCAAAGTTATGCTAGTTTAGCATAATAACAATACATTATTAAACATATTTAGGAAGATAAATGGTTGCATTTATTTCCTTACCTTTAATATCTAACATGAAAGAGCTTCAGTGTTGTGCTATATCCAACAATGTCTCTATCTAACAATGTGAGCTTGAGGAAAGAAAGAAAATGAAAAGATCACCTTCCATCTCCAGACTTGCACAGCGATTAAACACTGCAAGGAACTTCACCTTGACCTATAAATTTTCTCTCAGATACAGAAGTCTGTTGTAAGACTATTTCCTTGAGCTTTCATTCCCTAATGACACCATTTGTATTTCCTAGAGAGAACATTATTAAAGTATTCCTCAGTATTAAGTGTTATTAATATCTCTACTCTCCTGTTCCCATCTAAACGCATGAACATCTCTGGTGCGTGTTGGGGGTGGAGAGGGTGGGCTGTTGTTTATGAGTCATCATCTCAAGTGTTAAGAATTGCTTATGTGTAAGAGCTTTTTTTTTTATTAATACCTACTTCAAATGTTATCTTCCTTATCTCCAGGCCATTTCCTTGTCTACATGGAGATTTAGAATAATTTCCTTCCTGCATTACATTTTGTTCCTTGAAGATATTTTATAATCGGAGTGTATGTTCCACTCTCTCTGAGGTTTCTTTGTTTCAGGCAAAATACATTAAGTCTCTCTAGTCTAATCTTCTGGATCTTGTGTTATGCCTTTTGTCCCTTGTATATTCTCAGCATGGAGGTAAGAAAGGGGTAATATATTCTAAGTTGGAACTTAGGGATAAAAACCAGGATAGCAGTAGTTTTCCTCATTCTGTTCTACATCTAGAATTCCTTTAACACATTGTAAAGACCTGGAAATTTAAAAATCTAGATGATGCAGTATTATAAAAATAGACCATTGCAATTTCTTGTATGTGCTTTAAATCTCTTATAAAAATTACCAAATTACTACCTCTTTGACTTATGTAATGCTATTATTATAAATGTTTATTTGTCTAATTATATGATATAACAGGATTTACAAATGTTTTGCAAGTCTTTTGTTATCCAAGAGAGACCTTCATTTTAACATTTTTACTTTACTGCTTGTGTTTGTATTTTCTGATTTCGTAGTCTACATCTCTTTTTATTAATGCCATCATGTTTGGATTTGAAATGTCAGTGTTTTCTCTTTAACACCTCTTCTTACAAATATATTTAATATGGATGCATAAAAATTCAATTAGCATATTTTTGCTAAAGAAAAATAAAACAAGAAAAGAGCAAGTTTTAATAGGTTAGTTTAATTTTAAGTGTTATTTAATTATTTATTATATTTCAATGGTTTAAAATTTGGCTTTCCTGTTGTCTATTTGATTTTTAAAAGAAATTGTACTCAAAAAGATTTTTTTATAAATATAGACAATGTTTTTATAAAATGTTGTAGGAAGACAAAGAGCCTAGTATAGTTAAACCAATTTTGAAAACAAGACATAAGATAGAAATAATCACTCTATATAATATTAAAGTTTATTATACATTTACAGTAATCAAGATGGTGTGTCATTAGAAGAAAAATAAACACATAGGTCAATGGAACATAATACAGAATCCAGGAGTAGATCCACAAAAACATACCTAACTGATTTTTTATAAAGTTACAAAGCCAATTAAGTGGAGTAATTAAACATTTATAGATGAAAATGTGAACTTTATCCTAAGAATATACCTTATACAAAAACTAACTAAAAATTATCACAGACTCAAATGTAAAATGCAAAGCTATACTATACAACTTCTAGAAAAAAAAAAAAAACGCAGGGAACTATCTTTAGGATCTCGTTCTAAGAGAAATTCTTAGACTTAGCTCCAAACACATGATTCTAAGAGGAAAAATCAACAGATTAGACCTCATCAAAATTCAAACTTTTTGTTGTGTGAAAGAGTTTCTTAAGAGGATGGAAAATAAGTTATCAAGTGGAAGGAAATATTGCAAACAGGATATCTTACAAAGCACTATTTTCTAGAATATATAAATAACTCTCAAACTCAACAATCAAAAATCCAACAATCCAATTAGAAAATGAGAAAGAAACATAAGACATTTTTCTCAGGAGATTATAAAATTAACAAATAATTACAGTTTAAAATGCTCAACATTATTACTGTCTAGGTAATGCAAATTAAAACCACAATGACTTATTACCACATACCTATCAGCATTGCTAAAATAAAAAACAGTGACATCAAAGGCTTACAAAGACACAGAAAAACTTAACGATTTATATTTTGTTGGTTGGGGATGTTAAATGTCATAGCTGTTTAGAATACAGTTTGGCAATTGCTTTAAAAATATGTAAATACCTTAAAACTCAGTGATGTCTTCCTTGGCATTTATCTCAGATAAGTAAAAATTTATGGTCACACACACAGTGGCCTTTGTAATAGACAAAACTGGAAACAATGTAGATCCTTTCAATAGACTGAAGGATATCTATTAATATCTTTCAATAGATTCAATAGGTTGAACAAACTGTGGAACATCTATATTGTGGAATACTGCATGGCTATAAAAAAGATGAAACTATTGATACATTCAACAACCTGTATGAATATCCAGAGAATTATGCTGAGTGAAAGAAAAATGATACCAAAAAAAGGCTAAATAATTAGTGATCCCATTTCTATAACATTATTTAAATAAAAAAAAAATAGAAGTGGAGAACTGATCATTAGTGGCCAGAAGTTAAGAAAGGAGTACATTTGAGAGAAGTAGATGTGATTATTAAAGGGCAACAAGAGGTGAGCCATTCTCACACATGTGAGGAAGTATCTCATTGTGGTTTTGATTTGCATTTCTTTCATATGACCCAGCAATTCCATTCCTAAGCATCTATCCAAAGGATACAAAAAACTACCTTAAAAGAAAATATATAATCATATTCCATAGGAGTATTTACAATAACCAAACTATGGAAACTACTTAGGTGCCAAAACCATATGAATGGATCACGAAGATGTGATATATGTGCAATGGACTACTACCCAGTGATTAAGAAAGATAAACTCTCACTGTTTGTGACAAAATGGATGGAGCTGTAGGGGATTATACTAATCTAAATAAGTCAGAAGGAGAAGGAGAAATACCAGATGGTGTCACTTGAATGTGGAATATAAAGAAAAAAAATAAAAATAAAAGATCCAGAAAAGTCAAACTAATTACAAATGCTAGTAATCTGAAGGTAGAATGGAGGCTACCAGAGAGGGAGAGGCAAGAACACAGAGGGGAGGAAGCACAACAGACTGTTGTGGAGGACTGTGGATGTTTTGGTGCTGGGTGTAGTGTGGTAACCACTGGAGAAGGAGATCCAGTACTTTTATCTTTTTTAAAAAAAAAGATTTATTTATTTATGCAAATTAGAACTGTGGGACAGAGACAGAGTGCACCAGAGACAGAGTGGGGAGCAGAACAGGCATATTGACTGAAATACACTGCTGAGGGGAGCAGCAGGCAAGACAGAAGAGTTCTGCTATGTCATGTGGGTAGCTCCCTGGCCAGGGATCAAACTCATGTTACAGTGGCTGTGGGTACCTTCATAGGTTGTTCTTAACCTCTTGCACCACCAGAGAGGCCCCCAGATCCTGTACTTCTAAAGCACAAACAACAGTGTTATCTCAACTACCTACCTATCTACTTACCTACCTACATACATACATACATTGATACATACAAAAAAAAACTTCGAAGATAAGTCTAATGGATGAAAAGAAGGCAACATGAGGGAGCTAATTGTTTACAAAAATGTACTGTATCTAAACTGTACCAATATTGAAATTCTGGTTATGAGATTCTACTATACTTTTGCAGAATGTTATCGTTAGGCGGAAAGTCATTTCTTCCAACTACATGTGACTCTATAAATATAACAAAAAACAAAATTTTAACTTAAAAAAAGTAATTTTATTTATCAGCAAATTACAAAGATGAATTCAAGAAAGAGACTCATGAAATTTTTCACTTTTGGTTTCCTCTACAAGGTTTGCGAGGAGCAATAGCATTTGCCTTAGCCATTCGGAACACAGAATCTCAGCCCAAACAAATGATGTTTACCACCACACTACTCCTTGTGTTCTTCACAGTTTGGGTATTTGGAGGAGGAACTACCCCCATGCTGACTTGGCTGCAGATCAGGTGAGTGGTGCTGTTTAACAAAAGAAATATGCTGTTTCATTTCTTGTGTTGCTGACTGGGTCAAGAGTACAATAGCAAGTCTGTGTACTAGCTCTCCTTGGGTTAAGTTGACCTTCTTTCACAAGGTCAAACAATATGACCTGTTACCAACCAAACTGATTTTTCCTAGAATTCTAGAACTCTCAAGGTGATGTCTGTCTACCATCTGTCCCTAGAAATGAGTTTATCTATGAATTCTTCCATTTAATAATACCCATTGGGTACTATGTGACATGTTATGGAGTTTACAGAGTGATTAAATCAAATCTTGTCCTCAAGAGACCCATAGTTCAGTAGAATTTATACAGAAAAAGCTATAATACCAATAAGAATGGAAATTTGTTTAGTTTTCAATCCCTCACAGCACTTAGGATATGACTGTGGACACAGAAAATGCTTAAACACACTTGATTGACCAGTCATATGTTCAGTCAGAGGAATGCCATATACACGTTAGACAATTCTCAAAGGAAATGGGAGTCAAAGCTTCAGTCAGGGGTGCTCCCATAAACAGTGTCTGAAGATGATTGCTATAAATCTAAAATATAAAGATAGTAGATGATTTGACAGAAATGAATAGTGTGTGCCAATAGTGAAAATGCATAAATCTATTAGAAAATGTTGCTGTCTTTATTTGTTTATTTGACTTGTGTCATATTTTTATATGTCCCAGTATACAAAAATACTCTAGGTAAATCACATTTTATTTCTCAAAGCCATACACCTCAATGATCATGCAAGCCCTCTCTGGCCCCCTCCCATCCTCTGTAAGAAAAATCCATACCTACCACATCTGACTGGCAAAGATCCAGCTGACTGGAAAAGAACTTACAAGATTATTTCAGACAAGGACTCTGTTATTCCAGCACCAGTATAGTACCTGCAAGGAGATGATAGAATAAATAATTGCTGTCTGAAAAATTAAGTGAATATAACCACAAGTGTAGATTGTTGTTGTTAAGCATTTACTGATAATTTTCTATACATTTGATAAATAAAGCAAAAATAAGACTCATACCTTTCGAACAAGAAGGATGTCTAAACTAGGTCAAGTGACTATGCTTTAAGCCAAAATCGGGGGGAGGGGGGGAAAGGCCTCTTGGAGTACTGTAAATATTGCTAAACACATAAAGGGCTTTGACCAAAGGTGAATGAAGAGTGTTTTGAAATGCTTGTGGAAGTACTTTCTAGGCATGTAAATATGACCTGCAATTTCTTTCACAGTAGTGGTTTCCTGTAGGCTCCTATGGATGAGTACACATTGCACTAAACTGCAGCAACTGTGAACTATCAGCAAGGTAGTGTGTTCAGGTTGATGGAAAATAAAATTCAATAAGTAGATCCATGCAGGGAAAAAAAAAAAAAACTGGGCTTGGAAAGTCAAAGTTAGAGGATACCAGTCCCCAAAAGAAAAAGAATTGTATACCTATCAGGTAAATTGAATAACAGAAACTAAATTAGTGATGTGAACATTTTCTTAGAGTAATTGAAATATAACTCATTTTCTACCATTATCTTTCTTTCCCCTATAGAGGCTGACCCCAAATAAAAAACTACCCTAAAGTGTTAACTCTCCAATAGTGTTTTCCAAAGACATTCATTGACTTCAAATACATGTCATATAGCTTATTCAGTCTCTTGATATTAGAATCACCAGGGAGAATGGAGTTTGATAATGGGGCTTAAGGCAGATTGAAACAACTATCCAGATTATAGGACAGGGCCTGAAAAAGAAAGATAGTCATGTCAATCATAGCATCCAAGAGGAGGAGCCTGAAGGTCAATTTAGGCCAGTGTTATTTTGGTCTGATGGAGGGTTATCCCCCATAGGAGTTGACTCCAAATGGCATAAATAATTTGGTGACAGACTTGGCCACCAGCTAGGAAGGAAGAGTAGTAAGGGCAGGAAGGTATAGTGTTGTATTTATGGAAAGGAGCTGACAGGATGCCAGTCTGATACGCAAGGTAGAAATGTCAGCTGGGAAATAGCAGGTTGATCTGAAATCTAGGCAGAGAGACCACCCGTGTGGAAATCATTGGGGGAAGCTGAAATATGCGTAGGTATGTGAGTACGCAGGAAGTCAACCCAGACAGACAGAAGACAGGACAACAAAGCCTCATTAAAAGCAATGGTTCTCAAACTTGAGTGTCAGAATCACCTAGAGGGGTCATTAAGCCCCAAAGTTTCTGATTTGGTATGTCTGGGTTAGAGTCCAAGAATCTGTGCTATCACATTCCAGACAATGCTGATGCTGCTGGTTCCAGTATCACACTTGGGAACCAACGGCTGGTTTAAACTTCCTAACCCCAAGTGGAAAAGAAGCTCATAGTAAATAATGTCAGATTTGCCCAGGGTCAGACACACCTACACCTTCAGTTTGAGTTCCTCAGCATCTACAGTGGGGGAAGGCGGGGGCTAACTAGAGGAGAAGGAGCCACTGTGCACTGATTAGTGTGAGGGAAATAGAACATATGAGAATAATATAATAGAACAGGGTCATAAGTTAGTGTATGTACAATTGCAGACACAAATGTGACATAAATTTGGTTATGATACTGTCATATGCTCCACTTTTCTGTCATGGTTTATAATCCCATCAAAGAAATCCTCAATCTTATTATCATTTTTAAATGATAGTTGTCCATCATTTAGACTATATTTAGTCAGACTGCTTGTTTACATGGCAATGTCTCATTAACCAACTTACATCTCAGATTCTTTCAATAAAATACCAGAATGTAAGTAAATTGGAGCTATAATAAAATGACATGAATGGGGAAGCCCAAGGGGCAGAAATGCAAATGTGCATTTCTAAGAATTCAAACATCCTCACTTGACATATAATTTATTTACATACTCTACATTACGTTCTCCTTGATTTTTTATTAATTCTACATTTTTCTTTTAAGTTATTAAGCATGTATTTGAGATGTTTTTATCCCTATAAAATTGTCATGCAAACACAAATTATCACAGTAGAAATAAAATGTTTTATAAGATTTGATATATTAATATGAAATTGCATTTTTATGAAGATAACTTTGAAACACCAATGATCTTATGCTTAGAGAAACACAGACTGATCTTCACATATGAATCAAATTCTTCGTTTTTAAGGCTTGTCATAAGCATATTCAAATTTCTTATCCTACACTGAGTCACTTTCTTTTAAAAATAATAAAATATTTTAATATAGCATTTATAACAAATCACGAGAGCTTTGATTCTCAAAATTCTAGAGAAAAAGAAAAGACTTCTTTACTATTATTTTGGAGGTTTTCATATTAAAAAAAAAAGAAGAATTGTTTCTTGGTTAGACTCTGGATGCTGTAGAATACATTATTAATACTGGTGGTTAGGAAAACCTAACCTCTCTATCTCTAAGACCAACTCTACTGTTAACCAGCAAACAAGATTATCTACCAAATGATCACAGATATTTACAAATAAAAGTCAAAAGCTAACAAGGCAGAACATTCTGGCCATGGTAATTCATTTTGTGTATAAATCCATCCTTAGTTGGAGATAGGACACCACATGGAAATAACGAAGCACATGAGAATGGAGCCCATACCGTAGTGCAAATATTCCTAGGCTCCCCTAATAGACACACTAGACCATGTCCTCAAAATATCTGGGCACTTGGAGCCTCCCTCGTGGCGCAAGGGGTTAAGGACAGCACTATGAAGCAATCTGCAACCTCTGCAGCATAAGTTTGATCCCCAGCCAGCCAGGGAGCTACCCACATGGTGCTACAGACCTCGCCTATCTCGCCTGCTGCTCCCCTCAGAAGTGTATTTCAGTCAGTCTGCCTGTTCTGTTCCCTACTCTGTCTCTGGTGAATCCTCTTACCACCCCCACACCTCTGGCCTGTACCCCAGTTCTTGTATGAATAAATAAATAAATCTTAAAAAAAAAATATCTAGGTACTAGAGCAGAAAACCTTGTAACCAGAGCAATAGAGAACTTGTATTACAGATGGCATTGGACAGTGGTCTCACCAACATGGCTTCTTCAGTTTCCAGAGTTTGGCTTCTAACATCTCAAACAATAAGAGGTAGCTTTTATTGAAGACTTACAGTATGCCAAATGTTAGATAATGAATTGTAAGCACATAACCTCTCTGTGAGTCACCTGGATATTAGTAGCAGCTACCTCCTAGGCTGGGCAAGTCCAGCCCAGCAAAGTGACTCATTGTCATCTGCAGAGCCAGACTCCCACCCTGGGAACCTGAGCCCAGAGCTGGCAGGCCCAAGGAGTACTTTCTTTTGTCACCCTAAATAAGTAAGCTTATCCCTGAGGCCTGCAATCCTGCAATCTACCTTGATTAACAAATCCTCAGGGGGGGGGGAGAGGGGTGTGCTTTTATAAGACAGATCTGAATGAAACAAATACTGGAAATTTTCATCCATCCTCAGTGACTGAGTTGGCTTGCCCAAGCAGTACAGAAATTTTCCTATGCAGGTTTTCTCCTTGGCCCAGCACAGTTAAAGGTAAACAAGTCGAATCCTGGTCCAAAGTAGCTAAGGGGGGTGGGGTAGGGTTTTTTGTCTTCCTCAGTTATATGAATTTATGACCCTCATGATCCCTTTCCCAATCCCATGTAGGATCCCATGTCAGCCTGTTGTCCGCGTCTTCCACAAATTAAACAAAAATTGTACATACCAGCCTGTATTAATTGTAAATAACTGCAAATAACTTTTTGCTAGTGTGATGCCTTCACTATCATTATTTAATTACATTCAAATTCTACTTTGGGTTTATAACCCATCCTCTTTTTTTTTTTTTTTTTTAAATAGAGGCATGTTTTATTTATTTATTTGTTTGTTTGTTTCTTTTGTTTATACATGCACTGGGTACAGTCAGAAGCGCGGGAGGGTGAGAGAATTCACCAGAGCCAGAGCAGGGAGCAGAGCAGGCAGAAGGACCGAAGTACACTGCTGAGGGGAGCAGAGGGCGG